TTTCTATCTCATAATTATAACAGTATTTTTTTAAACTTTTTTCTTTTCTTTTTTTTTTACAAAACTCAGTGAGATAAGAAGTCAATTATGACAAAATGTCAACTTATGTCATATTTTGACATATCTCATAATTATGACCTAGTATGAGATATTAAGTCAATAATGAGATAAAAAAGTTGAAATTATAAGGAAAAAAAATTCTAATTATGACAAAATGTTTAAGTCATAAATGTGACAAAAATGAAGAGTTTTTACTACAATTTTGATTATTTTTCTGATAATTATGACTTTTTAATCTCACATGACTTTTTTTGTGGTCGGAAATGGGCTTCCATAGAGGAGTGACAATAAACTTGACATGATTTGTTTCGCCTGCATTGATTCACCAAAGAAAATGCTGCATTCAGCAGAATGAATCAGAAGAGTCACATCTATTCAAAAGACAAAAACTCTTCTGAGGTCTTTATAACTTTTGATGATCCTTCCGATCACTTCAATGTGTCAGCTCGCTGACAAAGCAACTTCCCAGATGGAATGTTCTTCTGGATATACCGGGAGCTGTTGTAGAGACTGCTATTCTCCACAGCGCCAGAGCCATAAGCAAACTTTTATGAAACAATTGTACTTTATTCATAAGATGTTTGCTCGGTAATAAGACCACTATGTCTGAATTTGGCTTGAATTATCCTAAAATAAAGCTAAAATATTGATGTCTAAGCATTTCCTTTTTTGCACAGCTCTCTGTTATTCTTTCACAAGAACAGTGTACATTGTATTTTTTCAACAGACAATTACTGTACCAATAACATTCATGTAATGGGCTTATTGTGAGTTCAGTGCAATACACACAATCTTTGAGTTTCTCATAACCCCAAATAAATCCCAATGTTCTCTGAAACTGGGAAACCAAAATCATTTTTTTTCCTGTGTTAAAGTGTCGTAGGATACAGCTCCAGGCATTACAGCATTTCTTTTCTTTTGTAATCGACTTAATGTTATTATTGCACATCATTCCTTTATTTTACATTGTGAGACACTGTTCATATTGTTCATACACTGTTCACTGTTCACACATCTATCTATCTATCTATCTATCTATGTTGTTCTGTCTATCATTGAATGCAGATTTTGCTGAACAGCTTGACTAAATAAGCACAATGCTGCATTCATCCTTTTAATGCAGATTTTCTATATGATCCTGTAATCAGAGCGAGAGCAAGAGAGACGGAGGGCAGCTGCTAAGCCGGAATCTGCCCATCAATGTCACCGGCCGGCCATGGCAGATGCAAAGGGGCATCAGGTCTCAGCTGACACATCCTCATGAGAACAAGAGTGGTGCTCTGCAGAAGTGTGTATGTGCGCACGTATGCTTTGGTAAGAGAGATAGATGGTGCAATAACTTGTGATTGTATGAACGCATGACTGTGGAAATAGATTGTGACATTTTCCTGTATCGTCTGAAGCTGTGAGTTTAACCTTATTTTTTCTTTTGTCAGCTTTTCAGCGGTATATGATGGCTTCATCCATCCATCTGATGTTCTTTTTCTCTCGAGAATGTGCAGGTGTGACCTTATAGAGCTATTTCTACTTGATCTGACCTACGGAAATTACATCGTCAGGTTGATTCGGTCAAATTAAATCATATTTCTAACTTGAATAGAACTAGTTAAATTAATTTAGGGTACCTGGCGAAACATTTGTACAGTCTAGAGCTGTATGTCGTTTCAAACCTGCATGACTTTCTTTCTTCTGTGCAGCACAGCACAAGATATTTTGAAAAATGTCAGTGCAGTAAACGTCAGGGGTCTAATATTATTTGAAATAAAGTCATACAGGTTTGAAACAACATGAGGGTGAGTAACTCATTTTTTGGAGGTCCACATAAGTGTGCAAACCAGATGTCTGTTTTTTTCTTAAAGCATATATAAAAGCATATATGCATATTAGGGTCAAAAATGTATGGAAGCTTGTTTCCCCCACAGGATAAAAACATTAATACGGTAATTGCAACATTTATTCTCACAAATCACTTTTTTCCTTGCAATTCTGAGTTTATATCTCACAATTCTGACGCAGAATTGCAAGACAAACCCAAGACATGAAGAATTGCAACTTTTTTTTTTTTCTTATTATTATAAGACAAAAACACAGAACTGTGAGAATTACCAATTTTATTTTTCATCCCATGACAGAAACACGCTTCCATAATAATGCAATTATATGCATATTCGTTATAAAACCAGTGTTTGGTCAATAAAAATACATTTTAATGCTAATTTAGATAGTGTTTGTGTTCTTGTGCACAGGTAGAATCAAAAATTGGTTGCTAAAGTTGGCAAAACCAGGATGTGCTCAATTAGAAAAAATGATTCATTAACAACTAAAACATGTTTCTGATCATTTCAAATGTTTTCTATTAGGGACAGGGTTGACTGAAAGATGGCTTGCCTTTTTTTTTCACTAAATCTGCATCTGAACATAAACATACTGTATGTTCATATGATATTTAACATGGCCTTACATGCACAGAAAATAAAGAAATGAAAAATGTTTTTGAGCCATGTATGTACAGTAATATTATTATTAACCTGAACACCACCATGAAATATAGCTAAACTAAATGTGTGCAATTAGTTCACATAATCAAAGGAGCATCAAATGAAAAGACACTTCATGTGAATATAGCAAAAAAAGTGGACATTTCAGGGTTGAAGTACAGAAGTAAATAGTGTGTTTCTACAATACCCTGTCTCTGACCTTCCACGTGTCCTTTACAACCTGCTCCAGAAGTGCCTTGTGTACTGATTTGAATCAGTCTCATTGAAAACTGCGTACGTGAGAATTAAATGTCAATGAAGTTCTTTTGATTTCAGCTCCGACGAGACGTTTGTTCGGTGTGTCTCAACACACCGTAGACCATTATTATGCAAATGATGCGCACTTCAATATTTTCGCCTGTGTTTTTCCAGCTGATGTCAGCACTTCCCGAGAAGCCTCCGTGCGCGAACGTCCTTCTCCCCCCATAAACACGTCAGGTCGCCGTGGGCTGCTTCTGCCGTCCTCTCCGCGCGCTTGGGAATGTCAACTGCTGTGCAACAGTGTCCTACATACTCACTGCATGCTCGTGATACTGTTACACACATGCATGCACATTAATGTGGAATCAACCTAAGGGTCATTCTATGAAACGAGAGCCATTTTTGTCCCTCATTTACATATGTGTAAAATAAAATGTTTTTTTTAACCCCATTTTTTATGAGGAGGACGTTTTTGGGCCTGCTATATTAACTAATATGCACATTTGAATGATTCAATGGACAGAAAATATATAGAGAAGATTGCATTTTGTCTTTAATCCCCATATTTCCTTAGATTTTAGCTGACAAGTGTTTTATTAAAAAATTGCATCCACAGGTTATCAATTTGTTCCTTTTTTAACTCTTTAAAGACAAGGTAAAAGTATTTTCTTTTTCTGCTATGAAATAAATAAATACATTTTTATCTCAGAATTCTGCCTTTTTCCCCTCACAGTTGGCAGTTATATTTCAGAATTTGGACTTTTTCTTTTCAGTGAGTTTATATCTTGCAATTCTGATTTTTTTTTTCTCGCAATTCTTTTTTTCTCAGTCAGTCGCAATAACATGTATGCATTATTTATTTATTTATTTATTTTACTACCTTCCATATCTGTCTAACCGTAGGACTGCAGTGAAATTGCAATGCGTGCATGCAGTGCATCTTAGTGGGCGAAAGGCTTGCGTGCCCTAAATGAGAAAATGAACAAGGTATAATGACCCTCTAGTATCCACAGACACGAATGCAAAGCAGCATCTATCACTATAACGCTTTCTCTCCGGGTCTGAATGTTTGTGAAACGACAATCCTACTGCGGGACGTCCTTATTCGTCCCATTGAAGGAGTGAACAATGAGAACACGATGTCAGACAACAGTGTGTACTACAGCTCCAGGATCTGCGTTAATTGCGGACATATGGCTACTACTGGAATCATTGAGGAAACGGACCTTCTGGTACCCAATTCGTGTGATTTGCATGAAAAGAAAGTCATTGGTTTATAGACCGTGATGTAAAAGAATGACCTGAAAGCCTGAGGCCACAGCCAGTAGTTGATTTACGGGTTCGCGGCAGAAGCAGCGCGCGAAAACGCAGCACGGGAGGGCAGATTTTGTAACATAGCAATGTTGCAAATGAAGTGCAAAACAACAAAATCTTCCAAACAAAATGATTAATTGATTACGAACATTTGCATGCAAGATGATTTGTATTTAATTATTTTAATAACCTAAATAATGTAAGCCTATTATTTGTTATCTAGAAAGGGGGTTAAATTTAAATGGTCACATAAAACTGCAGTTTACAAAAACGTTTAATTTATGAAAACCGTACGGATGTGTGATGTAAATAAACCCCTCTGTCTCATTTCAGGCTTCGAGAAAAATCTGGCGAAGGCGTGCACGTCTCACAGCGTCATTAAGCCATCCAGTTCAATGTTGGTCCCGGGAGATTTTTTATGGATTAAATTAAGTACTTCCATCTTCATTTCCCACCTGATCGCAGCCATATAAATCCCAACAGCTGATCAACAGACTTCAGAAAGCCCGACGCCTTCAGACGGAACAGCTGGGAAATAAAGCAGGAGAGAGGAGAGCGAACAGGCTGACGCAGACTCAGCTGTTTCACTGTCCTTTCTGTGTCGTTAGGGGTAGAAAAGCACCTCGGAAAATAGAGGACTAGTTAGTTTAAACTTAAAGCCCTAACCAGGAAGATACGATCGTCGTGAAGGGTCCCAGCGGAACTAAAGAGAGCGGAAAAGAAAGAAAGACAGAGAGCGCAGCGGAGCGGAGCTGTCCAGTGCTGAACGCGCGCAGCCAAACAGGAGCTGTCCAGTGCTGAAGTTGCATTTCTGCCGAGAGCATCGCAGCGTCGCGCTGCATCAACACAAGCGCATTCAGGGGCTCCAGGGTCTGCCGTAACCCTTACCGAAGAGGAACGATACTAAAAAAACGCATTTAGCTCCAGCGTTGCATGAGGAAAGCGAGCGATTCGACCGGCGGACGAGTGCTTTTCCCCTTCACCGTAAAACATGCCAAGGTCTTTCCTGGTCAAAAAGGTTAAGCTTGATGATTTCTCATCCGCTGATCTGGAGAGCTCCTATGGCAGATCCAGGGCAGACCTCAGCCTGCGCTTTCACGAGAAAGGTAATCACATTTATTTGACATCCAGATAGTGTTTACGCAAGGGCAAGTGCATGTATGTTGACGTTTGATGGTTTATAATCGCAACCTCGTGTAGTTGACCCACGGTCACATTGTATTCAACACCGTGAGGCGCATCAGTTTTTGTCTAGTCGGCACATTTCAGGTGTTGCGCTCTTTCAAGCACGCATTCGACTCGCTTTCAGGCGCATTTTATTTTACAAAACGCAGCGCTAGCAACAAGTACTTCACATTTACACCGAGAGTTATCAAAACGTGAATTATCACGCAGTCTGTTAAGGGAACGCTTGATCATGTTTCACGTTATTATTCACGCTCTACATAACCTGCGCTTTGCATACACTTGCATAAGCAGACGTTTATGGAATATTCATGCATGCATCTGGGGGTTATAGAGTAATATCTTTTGTGCATTCGGTACACATCGACCTAATTCTGCACAATTTATATCAAGACTGCAAATGCAATTATAACCGAAGTGATATAATTCTCCTCGTCATTGTGTTTAATTGGGTTGCCACGCTAATTGAAATGGAGCGCTATTGATTTTTTATTTTTTTTGCACGCGTGTGCGGGTTAATGTAGAAAAAGTAATTGCGTCTGGGTTCACCTAAACGAGCTGAAGTAACAGGAACTGTTGCATCACCTTCCCCCTCACAGGCTACATCAGCGACTACATGACCCCGGCACCGTACGATGGCGAGAGCGACAACGGCATCAAAGTGCCCTCGCCCGAACCCATCTACAGCGACTATGGAGCGCCAGATTCGGACCAGCCCGACAGCCCGCAGTCAGAGATCTCCTCGGGCTACATCAATGGAGACAACGCGGTCAGCGAGGGCTACACAGTGGACGCCTTCTTCATCACGGACGGGAGGTCGAGGAGAAAAGCCATCAGGAGCCCCAGGAACCTTCAGCGGCACACGTGCAACGAGTGCGGAAAGACATATGCCACGTCTTCCAACTTGAGCAGACACAAGCAGACGCACCGCAGCATGGACAGCAAAATGGCCAAGAAGTGTCCCACCTGCGGGAAGGTTTACGTCTCCATGCCGGCCATGGCCATGCATTTGTTGACCCACGACCTCAAGCACAAGTGTGACATATGCGGGAAGGCCTTCAGCAGGCCTTGGCTTTTACAGGGACACATGCGCTCGCACACGGGCGAGAAGCCCTTCGGATGCGCGCACTGTGGGAAGGCGTTTGCCGACCGCTCGAACCTGCGCGCCCATATGCAGACACACTCAGCCTTTAAGCACTACAAGTGCAAGAGATGCAACAAGACCTTTGCTCTAAAGTCCTACCTGAACAAGCACTACGAGTCGGCCTGCTTCAAGGGAGCGTTTGCTCCTTTGAGCCCAATGGAAGTGTGAACGGATGACAGCACAACAACAACAACAACGACGACGACGACAATGTCTCGGAGGATTAATCGCATGTACCTTAACTTTTCTTTTCTAAGTGTACTCTTTCTCCCGCTGTTCACGTATTCAGAGCCGAAATTTCATTTGTTTTTGCCAAAACTCAGAGGACATTGAAAATGTCTTTGTTTCTCTCGAAAGGTCAAACCTTTTCTAAGTATTGGATAATATTGTACTGCTGCCAGTGGCCACAAAAGTGTTCAGCATTGAGGTAAAACTATTTATTCATCAACTTATTTATGTATTTATATATTTATTTCCTACGAACTGTTAATTTGCACTTTAATTTGTCGTTCAGTTGCCAAGCCTTCGTCATCAATATGCCAAAGCATTTGCCACTTTCTGAATATCTTACTTTTGGTTGCCACTTTATAAATTCGTTGCATGCAAAAAAAAAAAAAAAAGAAGGGAAAAAAAAAGGAAAAAAAAAAAAAAACACTAATGAAATCTATGCCAATTTTATGAAGCTTTGGATTTTTTGCCAAAACCTAGATAGCATCCATCGGCAATATTTCTCGGGAGTCATGATGAAGAATAGAGCAATAATGCATGGTATTTTTAAAAGCTAAAATGAGTAATAACTATAGCATTTTTAACCACGATTTTATCCAATACTATCAGTAGTCGTTCAGAAGTTAAATATCAGGGAAATGCCAGAGTAGTATTAGCGGATACTTCCACGGGACGGGGAGGGGAAGGGATATAGGGTCCTTTTGTAAGTGGTTATGCACTGCCTGCCTCTTATTTAATAACGTAGTTTTAGAACGTAGGCGCCTGCGCTGCTGAACGGACAGCTTTGCTCGCGATCCGGATCATTTGCTCCAAATCTGCGGATGTGAACAGCGCTAAACCTGGAAACGCTGTTATAGGAGATCCTACTGCAACATGGACAGCTGGACACAGCAGATTGGTCTTTGAAAAGCACTTCTTTGAGAACATTTCCAACTTTTTTTGAAGAAAAAAAAACAACAAAAATAGTAGCACAAACCTTAGCAATTCAGGTAGACAGGCCTTGTATTAGTCGAACCTCTGTTTTTGCATTTACGGACATGGAAAACTAACTGTTTAATGCAAGACGCCTTGTAAATAATCCTTTGGAATTGAATATTTCTACAAGCTGTAAAGAATCAAATGAACTTATTTCTGGACTTCTGTTCCCTGGGTTTTTTCCCCCAGCATTTGAACAATGTAAAGCACAAACGACACCGGGCATTTTCTCACTTCATAATAAAGAACCAATAAGCAACTACGTGTTTGTGGTCCTGTTTGTTTCAGTCACACACCGAGAACCGTCCTCTGCTGAAGCTCGAATCGTGCTGATTCAGAGCGATGCATGCAACTTGGTTGAGTAAGCGTGCGATGACGTCAGTTTGGTGACGCAAGTTTTGTGGTGCATGCAGCGTGCATAATGTGTCAGCGCATCCCAAAAATCATTTCCGAGATGCCAAACACTCATGCAATGGCTCTTCCGCAGGATTCAAAGCATGCTTTCATCTCAATTAAATCCTTGACTGACGCCTTTGTTACACATGATTGAATTTTATCCGCATTGTGTTCACAAGGAGCTCTTGAGAAAAAAGCATGTGATCAAAGAGAATCCAGCAACAGCCTCTCTTTATGGAAAGATCCCTGTATGCTTTGGCAAATATAGCAGTTGCATTACGGTTCTTAGAGTACAGTTACGCGTTTGGCCGTGCTGCAGTGGTAACCTTGAGACATGCAAGTGACGGAGGGAATTTGGCCGTCAGCTTTATCCAGGTCCCAGCAGAGTTCTTATCAACAAGGACTAAAGCACTTCAAAGTGCCTCCTGCTGACTGTGGCTGAACAACAGCTTCATTACTGGAGCTTTTGCTTTTACATAAGCCCACCAAACGCATTACCTGCGTCCCCTACTTTAAAAAGCATGCATTTTTGTAGTGCATGCACAGGGAAGAAAAAAAGAGGGTTTTCAGTCATACAGCAACAAATTACAGTCCTCTGACCGAATCCTCCTCCAAGGTCATTTGCGAGATCTGCAGTGATTCGTGCAACTTTCTTGCACACCAGTTGTCTACAATCAACATGAAATGCAACCCTTTTGACTTCTGTAATCTAATGTATTACAGAGTGAAATTAGTTCACCCAGAAATAAAAAAATTGCTGAAAATGTATCACCTTTTTTTGTGTCTGTTTCTTCATGGGAACGGATTTGGAGAAATGTAGCATTTCATCACTCGCTCGCCAATGGATCCTCTGCAGTGAATGGGCGCCGTCAGAATGAGAGTCCAAACAGCTGATAAAAACATCACAATAATCCATAAGCAATCCACACCACTTCATTCCATCAATTAATGTCTTAAGTGAAAAGCTGCGTGTCTATCTATCATCAAGATGTTTTAACTTTAAACTGTTGCTAAAAATATGAGTCCTCTCTATTCATAATATTGCTTCCTCCAGTGAAAATGCTGTCTGGTCTGAATCAGGAGAGAAATATGCACAGATCAAGCACCGTTTTCAACTGAAAACAGTTCAGAACAGTTCTAAACAAATATGTGGGTGTATTTTGATATGAGAGGATAACAGAAGATTGACATTTTCAATGGAGGAAGTCTTATTATGGATTATGGACTCATATTTTGGCCTGAAGTGATGGTTTAAATTTAAAAATTCTTAAAGATGGATTCGTTTCTTACAAACATGCAGCTTTTGACTTCATAAGATGTTTATTGATGGTGGCACCCATTCACTGCAGAGGATCCATTGGTGAGCAAGTGATGTAATGCTAAATTCTTCCAAATCCCATGAAGAAACAAATTTTCTATATATTGGATGGCCTGATGGTGAGGAAAATCTCAGCATATTTTAATGTCTGGCTGAAGTATTCCTTTAAGAAAGTAAACAGAGTTTTGACTTCGTGCTGAATTCAGAACTTCAGCAAACATCATTTTGTATTGCCTCAAAGTTTGGATGCGTTCAAGAGTGAAATGCCTCAACTGCATCCAATATTTCTCCTCCTACAAATTGCAAACATTCAAGCCTGTAGGCCCACAGCCAGCTTAGTTTAGTGGTAGGAAACACGGTTTTGGGAAACAGCCAAAAATGCATTTGTGCTACATAGTTCCCATCTCACAGCAGCAGACAGGTGGTTAGAAACAAGTGGTTGAAACAAAGCACTTTCACAACTGCATCAGGATCATGCATTAAGATATTAAATAGTGAATTTGTATTTGTGATGACTTAACTGATGGGAATATAACTGCAGAGTCTCAAGTGTGTGTGTGTGTGTGTGTGTGTGTGTTGCTCCACCAGAATGACTCATGAACATTAGCAGGCAGAAGGGTGAAAGAACACCACAAAACCTCCAGTCTTAAACATCTCTCCAGGATGACACACAACACTTTGTTCTGACCCTCCGTGTGTTGAGGAATACCCCTGTGACTTTCCCTGTGTCTGTTCACAACCTCAAAACCCGTGACACGTGAATCATTCGGCATCTTACTTCAAACCTATAAAACTATTCAAGTAAATAAGATATTAAGTAGAAGGAATAGTTCGCCCAAAAATCTGTCATTGCTCATGCTGTTTTCTGTGGCACAGAAGCCATTGAATAATGAATTGAATTGTGTATTTATTTCACACAAATCTATTATACGACTTTAGAAGACTTGGAATTCAGTATATGGTCATATGGTTCACTGTTTTTATGTTCTCTTTGGAGTTAGAAAGACATGGTCACAATAACCTTACATATGCATAATGATTCTTTGAAATTCTCATTTTGTGGCAGAAGGTTTATTTTTGGATGAACTATTTATTTTGACTCATTCAGTCAGATGTCAGAAGACATGCCAGTATGTGTGTTTTCAATGGGAGTCAAATCCAGATGTTGCACCATGATCTACCTGGGAAACTGAAAAAGCACTGAAGTATTGGGTTTATTCTTTATGAAATGACAATTCACCCTCTCTGTTTTCTGAATATGTGGTATAAACCTTATTGTCAATGTTTCATCCATGTTTTATTTATTGATTTTTTGATCTTGTAGTTTTTAATCAGAATGCCATAACTTGATCTTCCAGTGAAATGACAGACTTCTCTCTAACACATGCAGGACTTCTCCAGTCATTTGCATAAACTCCGCCCCTGCATGTTTTAAATGACACGCCCACATCTCAAAATCCAATCAACAACCGATGCATAGAACAAAGTCCCACCCTACATTTTTTTTCTTTCAATAATCCATTACAATCAGATGTACATCACAATATGGAAGAAAATATCTATCTCTACATAAAACAATATATACTATATAGCAAATCTCAACTGCTTGACTATGTTGTTGCAAAATGTATTATATATTATTGTCCAGCTCTTTATATAAAATTATCCAACTTTATCTGCATACCTACAGTATACTCACATAAAGCAATATATATTTTTACAACAAATCTCAACTGCTTATATTGTCACAAAATATAAACTATATTATCACCCAGCTCTAATTAGCTAAATGTGATTAAGGCATGAATATATTAAGATATTATAAACATTAAAATCACGATTTTCTGTACAGCTGCTTTGACACAATGTGTATTGTGAAAAGCATTATATAAATAAAATTGACATGACTACACAGCATGCAAGAATGTCATTATACACGACAGTCAGGCTCTTCCAAGTCAAAATAATCAGCAAATTGGCCCAGACTTCATGCTGTGGTCCAAATCTGGCTGCAGAGACTATATTGCATAACACTGGCCTTTCTGAAACACACACACACACACACACACACACACACATGCACGCCTGCCTTTGCAAAACAACGGAGAGTAATAATATCTGCTGTTTTGATTAGGTCAGAGTAACACGTTTCACTGGAACATCAACATTTCTATTATTATTTGCACGTGTAGCGCATTTGGGAACCTAGAATAAAACCTAATAAGAGATGAATGTTGGTTCTGTTTCCAAATCACAGGCCTTTTCCAAAAAGGCCACGATTAATCAAATGATTCACATCGCTTATGATATTATAGAAATGAATCCATTAATTTGTGTAAATCAGATGTCCGTGCTGTGGACAGTTGACTGCATCTGCACACCGAGAGCAGCCAGTGTCAATTTCCAAGCTGGAGTGCATCGGATCAGAGAGGGTTTTTGTGACAATCACACGCCGTGTCTTATTTGTAAGCGTATCTCCTGCTGAGCTCCAGACTGCGGTTCTGCGACATCTCCGGCTCTGAGCTTGCGGATCATTATCGGTCCCGTGCTCCGAGCCAGATCTGCTCTCCCGAGGAAATGTCTAATTGTGCTGCGAGGGGCAGCATCAGCAGAATCCATTACTTAAACGGGAGACAGGTGCGCTCAGGCCGGGCGTCTGCCGAGCTGCCAGGACTCTGACGTCAGAGCGCAAAACTCCTGCCGAGCCTGACCCGTGCTGCTGCTGCTTCCTGCCTGGAGCGGAAGTAGGTCTTTCACACTTCCTGCAGAGAGAGAACGGACCGCAGACAGACTCGTGCTGTGTGTAATGTTGCAAAATCACAACAGTCTATGTCCTTCTCACTTTTGCTTACAATATACTGTATCATATTTGACCCATGAAGTTCTAAAGCCTCTAAATGATCAAAACTTTGCTGACAAACCTGTCGCACACGTTGATAGTTTGGATGTTTTTAGCAAGGAAAAGGTCTTTTGGTGTAGCTGTACAAACATCCACCTTCAGCTCGTGCTTCACGTGTCTTTTGCTGTGAAATCTGATTTTTATCAAGTAAATGTAAGAATAACTTTGATATTGTTAGTGATACATTTGAAGATGGACTGAAGCCCTGATTATCCAGACATCATGTTCAAATGTGAATATCAAATATAATCATCAGGCTTTTGAGGAACGTTTCTTTGTTCATCTCTCAATCATCATTGTATTGCATTGCATTTTATGGTTTGATCATAAAACTAAGTAAATCTCATCTTACTAAGACATACTGATATAGAGCGAAAAACTGATATTTATTTCTATGTAAGTATCTGCTGAACTGATGTAAAAATCTCATTGATTTATAACAAGCTATCAGATTTTCATCACTTTTTGGTCATTTAAATATCAGCATTTGGACCAAATTGCATATTTTAGAATACAATTCTCTTCTGAATAAAATGGAGCTGTTTTTTCCTCCATATTTTCACTATATCATACTATATGAGCCCCAAAAGCCTGATGTATCAAATATGATGCTCAACAAAAAACATCCAATCTATTT